ATGTTACGTCTAGACGAACACTTAAAAGCGCGTTAAGCCAGCTAAGTGGATTCACATTCAGAAGCGTCGTTACTACTGGAGCTTAGGCTTAACGCTACGTTGGAAAAACATCTTGTTTGAGATTTTCCATCTCCAAAATGCTATTTTGCTTTTCGATTCGATCATTGACTCCGTCAGAGCCGGTAATCATTCAATATTTATGCACCATTTGATGGCTTCAACGAATGTTCTGTATGCTGGGAGATAAGGGCTCAGCGTTGACAGAAACACCAGAGGTGAACAGTTTCCGCTAGTCATCACATATCAAAATGGAATGTTTCGACCTACTTAGGGGGGGGGGGGTGAGGAACTTCACAGCAAGTCGTCTTTTATCCTACCCGCTGTCATCGAGTCACAACGTCACTACCCTCTGAAAGCACTGAATTCTCTGTTAGACGGTTTTTGGGTATTCGTAGTACATGTACGGATCACCGTTACTCGGTAAACCCTGTTTGGTAATGAAGCGGTTCTGATTTGTTGCCAGATGCTGGCCTGTTTGATATTGTTAGTGCTCTAGTTGTGACGTAATTAAGTTGATTATCAGAAGGTAACAAGCACTAACAAATTTCTGTCTTACTAGAATGTGGTGAATACAATAGTTGGGTGCATTTGATAAAAATAGATACAATGCGAAAAGTGGAGTATGTCAAAAAGTGACTTATCATTTGAGGACACTTGTTGAGAGTTTCTGAGTGAAGTTCCGGACGTGGGACGTGTCTTCTCTGCAGTATAGCTGCTACACGTGTTCCGCAGTTGCCCATGGAGACTTGTGGAGCTCTGTTGACTTCCTGTCCTGTGCGCGCAAGTGTGTGTTGAGCCTAGTTGTACGCCTATTTATTGTGCGCAGTGTGAAGAGAGGGGTGTCCCTTCGTGTTTGACGCTTGGACGAACATGAATACAATTTGACCTGATGTGTTGAAGTTCATAAGCATGGCGCATTCGCAAGTGGTAGCCGCGTAAACCAAAAATGGATGAGAATTTGTGGTGTACAAGTTTTCGGCTAAGGTTTCAAGTGGGACAGGGATTGTCACGTGGTTTGAGTGTTTGTGACGCGTGATCTGATGAGTGACCTCTACATTACCTCGTCGCGGGAACACAGCAGTCGATTAACTCCTACGACCTTTTTGAAGGAAGTGGTGGTCAACTGTGCGAAAGCAACACAGTAATCCACCAAATCAAAGTAGGTCTCAAGTGCACACCTTTCCATTTATTGTACTGTTAGAGTGTAGTTGAAATATAAGTTTATGGCTAAACGTTGCTTTTCCAGCTGCCTCGAGACCACGTAAACCTAAGATAGAAGCTGAATCTCTAATGTCAACTAATTTGGGATGTATTTTGTGCTGCTCCCTTAAGGTATTGTTGCGTTTTTTCCGCCGATTTATATCGATTTTAGATCACGATGACATGGGTAAACAAGCTGTTGCATTTTGTGTGGGTGCAACACTAATCCCATCTGTATTTTCACCGCACTGCTGGTCCACGGGTTACAACTTCGCGATACGTATATGCTTAAATTCTTTATAAATTCGCAGGAATTCTATGTCATTGCATTTACTTCGCTTGTTTGAACACTTCCAACTGTCCTCGGACAGTTTTTCTTGTCTGTCCCAATCCAAATCGAGGGATTTTTTCCAGATAAGCCCCGCCAAAAATTAACCCCCGCCACCCAAAAAAGATTAGACGAAAGAGGATATGAGATTTGTACTTTTAGTTTTTATTGAAGAGGGTGAAATTGGGGCGTCATTAAGAATTTGCATGAAAAGGTCCGTTTTTCGGTAACTTTGCCTCCAAACGAACTCACACAAGTAGCTGTCCACTAAAGATCGGTGTGTGCCACACTGGCGTTTATTCTGCAACTTATAGACGTTCCAAAGAGATTCGATGGTTTGTGTGTGATCTCCAGTCGTTGGATCCACAAAGTTCTCGGTATGACTAACTGCTCCATGAGTATAATTCATGTCGACCATCGTTTCAATTCCTTGGTATGATGCCCACATATCAGAGATGATGATTGAACCGGGAGCGATGCAGTCCTGGATTGTGTCCATCAAAGTGGCCGCAGTCTGATCTGGTCATTTGTTGGCCATTGTTGCATAAACGTTGCTGATGGATCACTCCGTGGCTTTGCAAAAAAAGCGTATTGCCTTCTTTGTCATGAACGAGATTTGAAAGCGTGAGAAAGCTTATTTAGGGTTTCACGTCCGAACTGAGAAAATGTTTGTACAAAATGAGCCTAGGTGCGGATAAGGAACTGTTTTCATCAAAAATAGGTGAAGGTTGTGTGCGTACATTAAATTGGAGCTGGCGAAAGGTGGCGGGGCTTATCTGGAAAAGATCCAAATCAGGGAAGCATTGGATTGGTTTGTTGCTCTTGTCGGACTCATTAGCAGTGTAGTGTGCACGCTATAGAAACACCAGGAGGCAGTGGTCCTCCAAACGCTCATGACAATTTCTGTGGATGGGCAACAGAAATAAAGCATATGAGCCGAAGCCCAGTAGGCAAAGTTCTGCATTACTAATAGATCAGTCAATCTGGCATGCACCGTACACTACAGCAGTGCACGTGGGATGAACGGAGATTTCACTAATCCTGCAACCACAAGTTAAAAATGGTTCAGAAGGCTTCAGGCTTCGTCAACTGACTGGCGAATCTTCGTAGGTGATCGACTAACATGACCGGAACAGCTACTGGACCGCCGTTTGGGCCGTTGGACAAACCATTGCTCAGGTTCAAATATATTTCCTGTTCAAACTTGCTAATTCACGTGTGCCCTACATGCACTAGC